GACTTCCCGAACAGTGATTCACTATAAGACAGATTGGAAGTTTATCATCACCATCACCATCGTCATTGCCATCATCATCATCATCATCATTATCATCATTAGCATCACTATAATTATTTTTATTTGAGTTCTTGGGAACCTTTCGCGATATTTTCCGCATCCTGTTTCCCTTTTTTGTGGCGTCTTAACTTGAAACTAGGCGGCCCTTTGTACTGATACCCACTTTAATTTCTTAGCCATGGTCACTTCAGGCAATAGCCCTACCGTTTGTGAGTTCCTAAACTGCCTACTCAATTCAGGATCAGAGTAAGGATTCGAGCTATGCTTTATACCTTGGAACTGAGATATCATAGGAGGAGCTTAGCTAGGAGCTACGCATTTGATTAATTATGATCACGTAAATTATTGCACTCATTCTTATGCTAGTCAACTGTACAGATAGCTGGGTAAATACCTTTACAATATTCGCCAATCCATGGTCCTTTGCAAACGCAGCGAAAGGTTTTTGAAACTTCCGAAAAAATACATGAGCCTCCATTCAAACAGCCGGTCAGCTGGCAGCCGTACTTCAGAAAGAGAAAAAAAAATTAACAGGGTGCCTTTAAAGGGATCTCTTAGAGACGGAGAAGTCGCTATATCACATTGCCATGGTGGCAAAATTTCCCGATGACAACAAACCGAAAACGTCACTTAAAAAGTGAATTCCCACTGTTTCAAACTTCATCGATGTTATTTGAATTCATTTAATTTGTCAAATTTAGGTGAAATTGTTTGAGTCCGAAAGACCGTATCTAAGTTTAGAAAAAAAATAGGAAACGTTTTGTGTTGTGTTCGCCTACTCCATAAAGCGGGCTCGTGAAATTAGGAAGTTTCATGTCGCAGTTGTTCAACAACGGCTAAGAAATATACAAAAAAGTGTGCTGCCCGAGTCCTCGGTCTTAAAACGCTACTTCCCATGTTTTACAATTAACTCTAGCTCTACTCGTCCATAGTTTATCAATAAGGTGCCACAAAGACACTCTGATCTTCTTTGAATAGCGTCAAAACGACGCATGGCTTGCCGGACTAGATCGGCCAAGGATCAAGAATTTCATTTTTTATTTAAAAAACATTCACTTGACATGTGGTTATATTACGCGAGCATTTTTATATGACCAATTATTTGCTTTGCTCTTTATAAAACATAAACGCGAGGAAACAGTTTTGGACATTTTGACGTATATGCAATTAAGCACTGTGGGTCTGTTACTAGTGATAAATTCAGTTGTAGGCTAGATGATAAGGGAATTTATTGAAGCAATTGCGTTGATCGAAATACTTCGTTTTACACGTCAGTTTAGTCAAAAAAATTCCTTAATGCTTCTAAGACAAAGGCATAGATGGGTATTTTTCTTTGAAAACAGAAATAGTCTTCAGACCTACCTTCTTGTTACGAAAATGAGTGTAAACTGAATTTTTGTCATATTCCAGGTCTTCATTTTCTTCAATGGGCGGTTCTGCTCCACCCTCGTTCATCTCGCAAATTCCGCCGTGATCAGACGCATCACGATAATTCGAAGAAAAGCACCGATGATGGCTTTGGCACCTCAGACTGCATGATACCAGACTGACAGAGTAAAATGAGTGAAAAGCGGATCTTTTCAAACGTCGATGATTCTTATTAATAACGGGAAAAGACAGATGGTCCTCATCCTGCCAAGTCAAAATCGATTGAGTGGTAAACATTTGAGAGCTTAAAAATAAAGCGAAGAACTGAAGAGAGTGCATGCTGCAGACATTATGCACTCGATCCTGTAGAATTAGGTATTCGTGTGGCAGTTTTAAAAATTCATGATGCATAGTAAAGAAAATTACTGTTTATCTTTTGACAGTCTATCGCTAATTAAAATAAGAAGTCATCATTTCTGTAAACAAAAAGGAACAAACCTATTTGTATTATTCGGAAAAGGATATTCATTAAAATGTTATCCTTTTTTTCACATTTAAGACATTAGGGGGGCGCGTTAAATCTTAGTTTGAATTAAATCGATGACATATTTGTAGATTTAGGCAGCTTGTGTTTTGAGGGCTTTGTAATATTCGTGCTTGCACCCTTAAATCTCACTTGGCTATAACACTTCTCATCTTTTGCATTTTAAAATAGCACTTGTCAAAGCAATAAATTATTCATTAACCCATTCGCTCCTGAATCCTCCCTTACCTCTTGTGATCATGATGATGCTTCTTGACGACGACGACGGCGGCGGCGGCAATGAGAACGTCAAAAAAGTATCCTATTTACACAAATCTTTCCCACGCTCCTATGTTAAGTGATGGAGAAATCTGGCGGCCTCTTCCGGATGAAGGATACAGGCCCGACATACTATGGGCTGGGATGAGGTGGGAAGAGAGAAAAACAAACCATCCGAAAGAAGGGCCATGAAGTGGAGAGCGGGCAAGGTGAGGTGCGTGGCCGTAACAACAACCTGTGTGTCTTGTCTCGAAGATGATAATGAATGCACGGTGTATGTGTCTTATATAGCCGCTGTAAATATTACCCTATTTACACCAATCTTGCCCACGCTCCTATGTTAAGCGATGGAGAAATCTGGCGGCCAGCGTACGAATAATACTTTCCGAGACATCGCACTAGTACCAACAGGAAGACAACACCCCACACACACACAAATTCAAAACCCCTAGCCTAAATACCCACACCAAGGAAAAACGCTTGACACTGAGTCAGCTAACAAAAATTGCCGTAAAACAACTTCTGCTCTGGAGCAACAAACACATTGTAAACAAGACCAGGGCGTGAAAAATTTAGCGAAATTAAGCCTCTGGTTCCAATACACGCTCGACAGAATCAGGTATCAAAAATTACCCGTAAAACAACTTCTACTCTGGAGCCACAAAACACAGTTTATTTAGAACAAAACCTGTGGGTATTGCTAAAAATTACAATGAATGCATAAGCCAAACAATAGCTCATGCAGCAACTTATAATAACACGTACTTCAAAAAACCCAACGGGAATAGCAGCATGCTAGTGAAGCAAATTCATTCACTGACTCTGCATGAATATAAAACTAGGAAGCACGAAGACTAAACACTCCCAAGCGTAGGACAAAACAGGCATATGAAACGAAAAAACTGAAAACCCCGCACGCGGAAATTAGAAACTGGACATACTGTGAGAACTGAAAAACAACTGACTGCTATCCCGCTAGAACTGCTCGATAAGACTGGAGAAAAACCGAAGCCAACGAATGTACCACTCACGGGATCCATCAGAAGGAGATGTTGAAACTGGGGAATATTGCAACCTGAAAGATAAAGTGGTACAGTGAGGACAATATAGGGAAAGACGCGGCTCGAGGGATAGCAGTCTTACGCGCCGGTAATCCTACAGGGAATTAGACTCCCTTATAAGACTGAAAAGCTGGGGAGCAGCTGTAAAAATAATAACAAGGAAAGCATTGAAAACAAACAAAACCAAAGCAAAGAGTATAACTAAGAAAATACTGCAAACAAAAAGGAAAAAGTACAGAAAATACTGACCTTGAAAATATATGTGACAGGACCGAATGTCGGACACGTGGCAACCTATAAAATCTAGGTTGCAAAACGAGATACTTACCGCGAGTATAGCCCAAGAAATTGAGGAAGATGCAAATACAAACAGGAGCCAGAAAGAAAGCGGCGAACGCCAATGAAGAAACAAGGGGAAAGGCGAAAGGGTGAGGAGGGAAGGAGTTTAACGAGCACGTTTAATGAGGTCATGATAAGACCTGTGTGTCTTGTCTCGAAGATGATAATGAATGCATGGTGTATGTGTCTTATATAGTCGCTGTAAATAGCAACAGGTTTATTGAAAAAAACAACAACTTTGCACGTGCATCGTGCTATTTGTACATTTCTTTGTCGTTTCTGCACGACTACTGCGTGAAAATCCCTAATTTCACGTTTTATCATAGTTAATTGAGTGGAATGGTTATGAAACCCGTCAGACTCCTTTGTTATATGTTTTTGTGGACCTGAAAGTGCACAACGTTCAAAAGAATTCCTATCATTTTAATTGTATTGACCAATAAAAACGTTGCATTAATTTATTCCGTAACAATTTGCCAACAGAAAACAAAGGATTGTGCACTTTCACGGTGCCTTGAACATAAACTGCAGCACTGTTGTTTTTATCATTGATGTTTGCCGCTTTTCATAACCAGTCTCCTCTAATAACTATGGTTTTATGGAGAGCGTGAACAAGGGACGCAATTTTTATTCTCTTTCTAAACTTGAGAGCGGTCCACAAGAAATCAACGCCAAGGAAATTTTCCTACATTAGACATTTTCAGCGAATTTGAATAAGCGCTACAAAGTTTGAAAAAAAGCTAATTCATTTTAAAAGTGACGTTTTCGCTGCCGTCGCCGTTGTCGATGCTAAAACTCCCTAATCCTAAAAATTCTTAGTGGTTGCTGGACTCCGTGATGGGAAGGAAACAGAAAGTATGGCGTTTTTTTTCGGCTTTTTGTTTGATGAATACAAAGTTGACTGGCAATGAATTTTATCGCTATAAAATCGAAGCTCAACAATGTTTCACTCTTAAATGGTTTCACTTCGAACCCTCGTCATGACACATCTGTTTTATTGGAAAGAATCTCGATTGACAAAGTACAATGTTAACGGATCACGCGTCACAGTGAATATATATTTCACGATTCACGACTGTATTTCATCACTTTTCCCGATTCACGCTCTGTTTACAGGTCAATTCACGCGGCATCACGCAAAACCCCTTCCAGACCCTGATCTAACTGGAACAGGGGGAAAAGATCTTTAAAAATAACCATACCTGGATAGGCACGATGCAAACAGGCCGGAGATATAACGGCATATACTGGCGCAAAACCATGTAAAGTTGACCCAAAAACTCTAATGAAAATCTTGTTCCACTATCCATCTAACAGCATTCCTCAAACCTTTCCCACCGATGTGAAGGCTAAAGCTCAGTAAAAAAAAAAAAAAGAGAGAAGACAAACGGGGCAAGAAAAGAGATAAAGGAAAAGGGGAGGGGGGGGGAAATGAAAGTCGAGGGGGTATTGCCAAATTTTGCTTTCTGCTCATGCCCGAACGGTGCTTATAAACAGTCTTTTGGCAAATCAATAGGAAGTGTACTGAAATTAAGTCTAGGTGAAGTCCGAGAGTTGAGTTCTGGCAGTAAGAAGTTCCTACAATCAACTGAGTTCACCCTAGAGAAGAGTTGAGAGAGAGAGTAGGACTTGTACTTAGTGTCTGTCTTTGACTTAAGATGCTTCAAGTTTTCAGCAAGTGTATTCCCCTAGAACCCCCCAAGTGGATGGGGCCCTTAGCTCCTGTATCACTTTTGGACACCCAGTTATAACGCTGGCTAAAACATCGTTGACAAAACTGTTCTTTAAATTTATTTTTAAGCATATGCTCCTCAAGAATAAGAAGAATACCGTTTCAAACAAATTTTTGTCCCCCTGAGTGGCTTATTTTGTAAACTTTAAGGTGTTGGTTGGATGGCCAGTGTAAAGCCCATTTCTCCATGACGATTAAAAATAGTTTGAATGGGCTCTATGCTCTGTAACAGGAAGTCCCATAGCATGACATACCACCTTTTACTCATTTTGGTTGATGCCTACAAGTACAGCTCATTTTTTGCCCGATGTATACCTGTGTAGAACAGTATCTCGTTTGCTGCTATTAACGCTCTGTTTTTGCCCATGTTTAATCTTTAATCTATCAATAGCACAGGCTAATCATGGCAATGGATAGTCATAATTAGCTAAGCAGTAGGTGATGACAAATAACTTTTAAATTTTAACCTTAAAGATAAAGATATTTCTTCTGAGTGCTCATCATTCTTTTAAGATTTCAGAAGCTAAATCAGTTCTCTTTTGCAAGCACTTATCAAGACTAATGTAGACGATTTGACCACAAGTAGGATTCAAAGTTAGACAATTTAAAGGTGGATGTATTTAAAACTGTGTTACAAGTTCACTAGACTATTAAGGTATATGTAAAGCAATTTTACCCTGACTGAGTGGAGCCTGCGTATCATCTGGTAAGGACCTGACATCAATGTATACGTATTGCTTGAGATCAGGATGGACTCCTTCATTTCAAGCTTTGGGTCCTACAGTTTATAGTTATTAAGTACTCCGCAATCTTGTCTAATCTCATGCAAATATAGTGGAACCGGGATATAATTAACACCTTTAATTATACAAAAAATAGTTTCTGCCCCAATTACTGTACGATGGACAAGACCCATCATCACGTACTACATGATAATTTTTCTTTGTTGCCATTGTATATTATTTTTAAAAATATTTCTTGATTTCCACAAAAACCTTTAGAACTGAATTGTTTACAAATAGGTTCATGTAGAAACCCAGTTGACTATCATGTCATACTACCATAGCTGTTGAAACCTTTTCTGCGTACCTGTAAACAAAGGCAGTAACTCAATGCTTGGGTGACAAAATACAGTGATTTGTATGAAATTGTCGCTTCAAGGCTAGACACCAATTCCTTGTGTTTGCTAACTGGATCGGAATGTGGGTTAGGTCTATGGAATAATAAAAAATTATTATAAAGGTGTTGTTATAAGTCATTTCAACTCCTTTCAGCTTCTACCATCTCCCCTGCAAAGTTGACTTGGAACTTTTTGTTACATGTATACTGTACTGGGAATTTGAATAGTCATGATAGAATTAAT